ATTAAGCAGCGGTGGAAGTCATAAGACATTCTGTCAGCCCTTGTGTTGTCCCTTTAAACAATGTCCACTTTGTTTTAAAACATTATTCGGTGAAATAATGAAAATGTTCAGTCTTATTTTCATCATGTTCTACTCGCTGTAATAACTGTAACTGTCAAGAGGAAAAGTGTCATTCATTTGTGTGTTTTGGTTTGTGTTTGTTGTGTTTCTGTAGGCAACCAGACAAGCTGAGGGTGGTGTGGACCAGGAGGAACAGACGCATGTGTTCCAAGGTGAACACACACACACACACACACACACACANTACCCTTTAAAAAGATCTAGAGAATCTAGAATTTTTTCTAGACCTCTTTCTGTCTTAAAGAAAAAAAAGATTGAGATAGAAGAAAGACAGAAAGACAGTGAGAAAGACAGAAAGAGAGGAAAAAAGACAGAAAGAAAGAAAGACAGTGAGAAAGACAGAAAGAAACTAAAAAGAAAGGTCCAGAAAGAAAGAAAGGCAGTGAGAAAGACAGAAAGAGAGCAAAAAAGACAAAGAAAGTAAAAAGAAAGGTACAGAAAAAAGAAAAAGAGCGAAAAGAAAGGTCCAGAAAAAAGAAAAAGAGCGAAAAGAAAGGTCCAGAAAGACAGAAAAAGAGCGAAAAAGACAGAAAGAAAGTGAGAAAGACAGAAAGAAACTAAAAAGAAAGGTCCAGAAAAAAATAGTCCAAAAACAGAAAAAAGAAATTTGTCCGAAAAACAAAAAAAAATTACTCCATAAAACAGAAAAAGATTACTCTGAAAAACAAACAATTAGTCCCATTAACAGTAAAACAAAATGATTCCAAAAAAAAAATAAAAATTACTTCGAAAACAGAAAAAAATTACTCTGAAAAACAGAAACAAAATTAGTCTGATTAATAGTAAAACAAAATGAGTCTGGAAAACTAAACCAAAAAAAATAATTACTTCAAAAAACTAAAAAAACTAAAATTGATAAACCGGAAAAATTACTCCAGAAAACAGAAGAAAAAATTTGTCCGGAAAACAGAAAAAAAATTTTTTTTTAAATTACTTCGAAAAACTGAAAAAAGAAAGTGTTGTCTGAAAAACAGGAAAGCAAAACATTTTGCCTGAAAAACAGAAGAAAAAAAATTTGTCCGGAAATCAGAAAAAAAATTACTTCGAAAAACTGAAAAAAAATTGTCTGAAAAAGAGAAACAAAATTAGTCAGATTAACAGTAAAACAAAATGAGTCTGGAAAACAAAACAAAAATTACTCCAGAACACAGAAAAAAAAACTGGAAAAAAAATTGTCTGGAAAAACAGAAACGAATGTGTCTGATTACAGAAAAAAAAAAATTTCTTCGAAAACAGAAAAAAATTAGTCTGGAAAACAGAAAAAAATTTACTTCGAAAAACTCAAAAAAAATTGTCTGAAAAACAAAAAGAAATTTGTACGATTAACAGCAAAAAAATATGTCCAGAAAACAGAAAAAAAATTACTTCGGAGAACAGAAAAAAATGTGTCTGATTACAGTAAAAATAATGATTCTAATAAAAAAATTTTTTTCAAAAAACAGGAAAGAAATGAGCGAAAAAGAAAGTAAAAAAGACAGAAAGAAACTAAAAAAAAGGTCCAGAAAGACAGAAAGAGAGCAAAAAAGACAGAAAGAGAGCAAAAAAGACAGAAAGAGAGCAAAAAAGACAGAGAGAAACTAAAAAGAAAGGTCCAGAAATAAAGAAAAAGAGCAAAAAAGACAGAAAGAAAGTTCCAGAAAGAGAGCAAGAAAGACAAAAGAAAGGTCTAGAAAGTAAGAAAGAGAGCAAGAAAGCTCCAGAAAGACAGTGAGAAAGACAGAAAGAGAGCACGAAAGACAAAGAAACTAAAAAAATAGCTAGAGAAAGAAAGAAAGAGAGCGAGAAAGATGAAAGAAACCAAAAAGGAAGGGATAGAAACAAAGAAAGAGTGCAAAAAGACAGAAAGAAACTAAAAAGATAGGTTGAGAAAGAAAGAGTGTGAGAAAGACAGAAAGAACCCACAACGGAAGGGATGGTAACAAAGAAAGAGTGAGAAACACAGAAAGAAACACAGAAAGAAAGGTTGAGAAAGAAAGAAAGAAAGACAGCCAGAAACGAAGAAAGAGAGCGAGAAAGACAGAAAGAAATTAAAAAAATAGCCAGAGAAAGAAAGAAAGACGTAAAGAGAGAAAGAAAGAAACTAAAAAGGAAGGGATAGAAACAAAGAAAGAGAAACAGAGAGAAACAGACCTTAAATTACATTTTCAGTAACAAATAATGAGAGATCTAAGCGGACAAGTGATCATACATTTTATTTCCTCTGTTATCAAGAGATAAGTCAAATTAAGTCGTTATCAAGGAAAAACAGGAAATAAAATATATGATTGCACGTCTGCTTACAGCTCCTGTACTTTTATTATCTCTCTCTCTCTCTCTCTCATCATTTATTCCCTGCCTTGCTTCAGGAGACACTACTGTGAGTACCTGGTGAGTCTGATCAACGCTCACTCCGTGGACCCGGCTCTGCTGTACGACGCCGTCGAGCTGATTCGAGCCTGTGAGAGATACCAGGTGGACGTGCAGAGAGGAGAGAGCGAGGACGACAACGCGTATCACGCTCGCCTGCTGCAGGTGAGACACTCAGAGCTCAGGCTGAGGTTTGACCAGGAGGACCGAGCGGCTGGCGATGAGACCGACATCAGGAATATCTGACAGTGGATCTTCAAAAGACCCATTTTTAATATCTGAAAGTTGTTAAATGTGGTGTTATTGTTTTCGACAGAAACTTGTAACAGAGTTTAGATATAATATCACGTTTTCAGGTTTAGTGATATCGAATTTAAACAACATACAAACTCAAATCATTTTCATTTTTTCAGTGAAACTCAGACTTGTCGTGACACTCCCATGTCAGAGTAAGAGGTGTTGTTCACATCAGGAATAGAAATCACACTTGACCTAAGACTGGTTCAACTCACCAAACCAGCAGCAAAGATCCTCAGTGATTTCCGAGAAGTCAGCTGGTCTGGTGTCGCCACAAATTCCAGACTCCAAATTTGGTCGAGGAGTTTGATAACATTTCTCCCACCACGTTTCACAGGGGCCTTTAAGAGAAAGCAGAAGTTATCGTTATTCTTTTAAAACCACTGTTACATACGTTTTTTTGTGCAATGGCCTCTCTCTGGGAAAAAAAAATTTGATGTCGATGACTAAGATTAATTTTTGTTTCCTGACAGAAACTGATGGAGGTACCTCTCGGAGAAAAGGTTCCACGCAACAAATAAAGATTCCTGCTCAGCTCATCATCGCTGGCCTCCGGGAATAAAGATCTGAAATCAAAAACCTCCACAGAGTCAGACTGTTCACTAACGAGAGGTTGATCCAACCATCTGGAAAGAAATTTCAGTCCTCATTCAGTGACGTTGTCACGAGTCTGAGTCCGATTTGAATCCGTTTCTGCTGTTTTCAGTGTTGAAAATCAATATTGTTTTACTTGTTGATCATAAAGAGAAAGTGATTTTGAATCAGAAACAATTCTTCAATATCTTCTAATGTGTTTTGTTGAGTCTTAAAAATGTTGGAAATTCATCTCAGGTCATGTGATGCATAATGTAAACTTTACAAAAAACGTGAAAGGAATGTATCTGTGTTTCATTGGATTATTAAGAAGAAGAAGAATCTGGAGATTTTTCTTATGCACATAATGTAAGTTTAAATAATCTATATCAGAACAATGTAAAGATATTCAGCAAATTACACAAACAAATATTATAATTCACTGTCGGGAGGGGTTTAATGTTCTCTATGAATGATGAATGAATCAAACTCAAATAAACAATATGATTATTTTGAAATGTCGATTTGTTCTTGACTTACTCGCTCACAGTTTTTTGGCTCAGTTGAGAGAGTTTGTCGTTGTACAGGAGTAGTGGTTAAGAGTTCATTTAAATTCCAACACGTATTTATCAGGAGTCACTGCTAAAATCTGGTGAGAATTTTATTCATCTTTATTTTCTGGAGCTAAATGTTATATAAGTAGGACAATATCTTAAAATGAAGAAGTTGTGATTGTTACTAGAAACATTTACTTAGGTAATTTACTGAAGTATGATTAAGAAGTACTTTTATTTGACTGAAATATTGTCTTTTTATACTACTATATACTTCTGTTCCACTACAGTTAAGAAGGCAAATGTTGTACTTTTGCT